TTCCCAACCCTTACAACATAATGATCAACACTTCCCAATCCCGCTGGCTAAGCAGAACTGCACTCTGCTAGTGAAGACATTTACAGGACACAAAAACACACCGGCAGTGCTCAAGCAAGCTCTTTTTGCCAAGGGAGAAAGCCCCATAAAAAAAAAAAGAGAAGACAAGAGAGGCAAGTCCCAGGTCCCCTGTGTAACCCATAATTTACAGCTGGGCTAAAGCTGCATTTTGCCATGCAAAGTGCAACACTGAATGACACGGATGCGATTCAGAGGGGAGAGCCTGAAGGCTTGCGCTCTCCCCTCTTTACCATTCTTCTGGAGCTGGCCTTTTCCCATCTGAGGCACAAATTCATTTAATGCCCAAACCACTGGCGGGGGAATCTGAGCCTGCTGTCAACAGGGGGTGAAGTTATTCAATTCCCCAAAACACCACAGCTGCACACTGACCCACGGGCGTATTTCAAACAAACAAGGAAAGGACTTAAATTGGGAGCTCACTGCTGAGGAAAACGGACTGAAAAAGCAGGTCATCTCCAAGATGTTACAATGGCAGATGCATGATGCTGGCATCTCTTACTGCAACTGTAGCTCGGGGGGCGCGAGTCTGAAGTGCAAGGGGTCATTCACAGTAACTGCTCAGTAAGAGACACCGTCTTGCATGGGAATGGCTCGTGGCTGTAAAATGCTGGAGCAACCAGAAAGTTAGAATCCAAGCATAGCAGGGGCAGGGGGAGAGGCAGCATCTGTATGGCTTTCTGGCACCATCCACTGAAGGGCTGCTGGTGATAAGATGAACTGAGGTGGCCAGGTGCTTGGCTTCCTGTGGAAGGTGAGGGTTGCTGCTACAGCTCCCCAAGCAGGAGCCATTGGGGAACAGCAGAGATGGCAGCCTCCAGGGAGCTCTCACCATCCTTGAAAGATGAAATGGGATGAGCATGGTGGCTTAGGCTTGTAGAGAAGACGGGAGAAGTGGGAGGGGGTCTGCATGCTGACTCACATGTACTAGTTCACCTGGATTGGAGAGCCGTTGCGGCTTCAGTCTGCAGGCCAGTCCCACTTGCATAATCTAAATCAGTTTGCAAAGGGATAGTTTAATGAAGTATCTGTAAGGTTCCTCTCAGGGACTGATCGAGACAAGTAGACTTGCAATTCTTAAGGGATTAACCTAATTTACGCCATGACATTATCCCTGGCCCGCCCCCATACAGTCACGTTGTTACCTGGTCAGGACCTCTACAAAGTGGTTTTATCTTGGGATGTCAAAGTTCCTTCTCCAATAGCACTGGCCTTCCACCTTGGCCTATTCAATTCAATCTACCCACGCGCTGCATGAGCATGAAAAAAAATCAACTGCAAGAGCTCCGATACACGCAGGAAGGCAGGAAGCCATACCTTGTAGGCAATACTGTTGAGCACTTTCATAGCCAGGTCTGAGACATCCGGATAAGGGTCAGCAGCCAGGTGAAGGAGGACTCTCCAAATCTGGGTGTAAACACTGTTGAAAGAAACTCCTGGAACAGAACAAAAAACAGGAACAGTGCCCAAAAATTACATCGTTTCAGCCAACTCCGAACACCCCATGTCTTGTGAGCGCGTTAGTCCACAAGGGAGCTCCGATGCTTCCCAAGGGTAGTTTGGGAAGAGCAAAGCACAGTGCTCAAACCTACGCTCCTAGAAAGGGAATGAAGGCTGCACTGTGTTGTCCTCTGTGAAGTCTGCAAGGCTCAGCTGAGACAATAGGGGGAAATCCCAGGGGCCGTAAAGAGTACTTGGATGCACACCTGAGTAAAGTGCCGAACTTTCTAAGCCTTTGGAGCAAGTCACTCAACCACCCTCCATAAATCAACTTGCATAGAAGCCAAGGTAAGAAGTTGGGAGCTTCTGTGATCTAAAATCCTAAACTTTAAAAAGCCCAGAGAGATCTACTGCCATTTTAAAAGTTACCACGTGTGATGATGTGCGGCGCTGTTCTGTAACACTTGAGTTTCCTCCCTTTGATTGTATGCTGGGGGTCTCAAGTGAAATGCTTTGAAACTTTTGTAGCAGCAGTGTTGGAAGGTAGTCTCAGGACCCTTAAATACATCTAACTGGCATACTCAGCATCAAAGCACTGCAACCACGCTTCAGGGCTGGTCATTTCAGAGACCATAAAACCGAGCCCCTGTCTACCGTGCCCGACTGTCCCCAGAGGTTTGTGTGTCACCTCTGCCTGACTCTCCCTCTGCCTCAAGAAGGGTGTTTGCCTGAAAGTTTGCAAAGAACAATTGTTCTAACTATTTAGTTGGTCTAATAAAAGATATCACATTTACCCAAAGAACCTTGTCTGCCTGTGTCCTTAGACCAACACAGCTACGACCAACACCCCTGTGCCACCTCTGGGCACTCCTGGCAGCTCCATCATGCCAGCCGACCACAAAGGGCATCCTGGGAAGGCAACAGCTGCTGAAGACACTGCGGCACCTGACAGAAGGTGCACATGTGCCTGCAGATGCCTTCTGCTCGCTGCCGGCCTCTGGCAGAAGCCGGCTCCTGGCTGGAGAGGGGGTGGCAGTCTGCTGGCAGAAGGAAGGGGCTCTGCTGCCCTCTGTGTAGATGCCCTCGTAGCTTTGCCGAGGGAACTTAAGCTCTGCCAGTTCAGCTCTGCAGTGTAGACTGGGCCCGAGTCAGCCCTTCCAGCGGAGTCAGGGGGCTAACTGATGACCCTGATACCTAACGAGAATGCCTGCAGTGTGGTACGCACAACAGGAGAGATGGTTACATGCAATATTCAAATCAAAAGAGGCAGGGCTTGGACGAGTGCGAAGAAGTCTGTACGTGCTTTATTTTACTGGCTTCTGGCACATCCGCAGTTTGTTACTCCTCCCACATATCACCATCTACCATCATTGTAACACCATTCCTGGGACCCGAGCCATTTGAGTGCTACGAGGTAGGTACTGGAAAGACGAGAAAGGAACTAAAATAGGGTTTTCAAATGAGTCACAATTAATTGCAAATGACAGAGCAAGCTGTTCCTGCATTTCCCCCAGGTGCTTCTGGAGACATCTAAATATAAACCTTTAGGTTTGGAAGAAAGGGCTCCGTGGTCAAGAAGCAAGTGCTCCCCCCGGTTAGCTTCTACACCTGACACTCAGGCCAAGAGAAAATAGATTCTGACAGTTCAGTTTTGAACTCTGGCCCAAAAGACTTAAACCGAATGCAATTACAGGCTTGAGCAGCACACAGCTTGTGCTTTTCTCCGTATGCTTGTCTAGCTTAGACAAGGGAATCTCCTTTTCGGTAGAAAAAAAATCACTAAGACGTGACAGGGCGTTCTGCGAACGGCCAGGCAGCGAGCTAACTTCCACCCCCTAACGCATCCTGCAAAGGAAGGGAATTCTCACCCAAAAGGTGCCCACGGGATTTACTGGAGCGACTTTAACGTGTGGAGGAGTCCGTGT